AAAATTTGGGTTCTTTGCGTTTATCTATTTTGGCCCCAATCTGGTGATGGGCCTAATCAATCCAGTATCCTCTGTAGGCTTAGCGGCTTAGTCAATAATACTCATTTACTAATTAATACAAGTTACAAACCTTGGGGGTTATAAGAAGGGTATTAGCATGATTATCTTAAATCAACCAACCTCAATTGAATGTGACACAGAATTCTCAACACGTAAAGTCTCTATGTGAACTAACGGGGAAATTACCTTTAGAATCTACCTTAAAAGTAAGGCTTTGCGTGGTTTGAAAGGGAAGATGCCTCCTAACTTGAATTTAAATAAGGGCAGAAATTTCTCCCATCCTTCGTAGAATCAATGTTTTTAAACTTGAACTGGAGGTCAACCATTTTGATCTCTGGTTCATGGTTTGAACGGTTTAATTGATAAAACCGTTGAGTTGATCAAAATATTATAAATATATTATCATACAAAAAATTTTACATGGTGTCAATTGGTTGCAATGGTAGGTAATTGATTTATTATAAAAGAAATTATAGGTTCAAGTTCTCAAGGTTGTTATCAATAATTTGACTAAAATCTTAAGCACCTAATGACACAAGGTGCTGGTGGCAAAGAATTAGAGTAAAGGCTTTAAGGTTACAAGTTCAAACCCCATGGGAAACAAATTTCTCAAGACTTTGTGCCCAAGTATTGAACCATTTGGTTAAACAATTTATCGATTTGAGTGGTTTCAAATGTTTTAACCATTCAAACGGTTTTAAGGGTATACCCAAACAATTTATACTATTGATATTAATTTAATCGATCTAATCAATTAATCTGATTTTATTTTCAAAACTATGGTATAATGTGTTTGGATTCCTACCATGTGGGGCAAGGTAGGGATGAGAGTATTTTTTTTCTTGTAAAAATTTTAAAGAAAATTTCCTATTTTGCAAATCTCCATTCCCAAAGCAAATTTTTTTTAAAAAAAATAAAAATTATTCAATCCAACTCAATTTAAGTATTTAATTGATAGTTATAAGCCATATCCCTTACACATTCTTAATTTTAACTCAATATTAAAGTCTAATTACTTTTAACCAAACCCAATTTTTTTTACCTTAACTCAACTCTTTAAAATATTTTTTTTAAAAATAATAAAATAAAAATAATTAAAACAATTTATAAGATAGGTTGACAAGTCAAAGAATTCTAACAATATGTTTAAGTGGAGAGGAGGGGAGGTAGAATTTTTTTTTATTATAAAAACGTTAAAAGGAAAGGGAGAGAAAAAATTTCATTTATTTTATTTTTTAAATTTTATTTAGCTATTTAAATAAATAAATAAATAAGAGAAGAGAAGAAAAGAGATATTTTTATTCACCTCCATTTTCTTCTTCTCCTTTTCTCTTCTTTTTATTCTCTTTAATCCAATCATACAATAAAATCCACTCCCATTAATAATGGAAATTTTTGTCCCAATTAAAAATCCTCCCAAAGAATGTGAGCACTCGCGACTCCGACGGAGCCGCACTCCCAAAATCGAAAAATGAATGTTTGAATGGTCACTTTTTCTCGAAAGATTCTTTGGTCAATGAAATTTGACAATTCAACTTAGGAAATTGTTGTCTCTCCAGTTCCATGTTCTATTTCTATTCTACTTCCAATCCAATCCTCAAAGAATGGGCTAATGGTCAAAACTTCTAAAATCCAAATTCCAACATACGCTCCAGGCTTTCACATCATTGCTGTTGAGCCGCTTTTTTCACCATTCTCCATTGCCTTTCATCATTCAACTTGGGTCCAGAGATTCTGGAAACAAAACTTGGGATGCTCAACCTGATCCAAAATAGTATTGAGGGATGATCATGCTTCCCTTCTAGAAGTACATACAGGGATCATTAGTCAATACTGACCTTTTAATTTACCAAAACAATAAAAACAAAATTTGGGTTCTTTGCGTTTATCTATTTTGGCCCCAATCTGGTGATGGGCCTAATCAATCCAGTATCCTCTGTAGGCTTAGCGGCTTAGTTATCCTTCCTGTCCCGTTGCCTATTTTCCCAAAAAACGTTATCCTTCCCGTCATTTGTGAAATGAACTTCAACAAAGACCCAAGATAATGGGCAATGTTATGGCCACAAGTCAAATATGTTATGATGAACAAATATTTCAAATATTTTATTTTAAAATATTCATTTAATTTAATTTAATTATTATAAATAATTAATAATTATAATTACTAATTAATAAATAATAAAAGAATTAATATTTATTATTTAATATACTAAAATTAAATTAAAATCAACCTACTTTATTTTCGAATACCATACCTAACTATTTAGGAATAAAAAAAATAAAGTTTGGGTGGCTCTAACGCAATAAGTGCAAGGTGGTGATATAAAAATAATTTTTTGTATTATTTTTTTATATAATTTTTACATATTATTATATGAGTGAATGTATTTAATATTTAAATCTTAATTGAATAAAAAAAATTAATCATTTTAATAACACATAAAATTATACAAAAAAATTATATAAAAAAATTCTCCCTAAATTATTTTTCATAGGGTGCTAAAACCACACTCGAAGAAAAGGCATCAACTTTGATTGCACTCAAATTAATTTACAAGAGTAAAATTTGTAAAATTGTAAAGCAATAATTTTTTCTTTCCAAACAATTTTTTCTTTCCAAACGGTTCAATCTACAATGACGAGCTTAATCCCCACTAAATACAAATTTACATACCATATTAAGGTCAAGATTTAAATCTCTTTAATATTAAATAATTAATTTTGTGTGTTAAAAAACAAAAGGCCTATGGAAAAATTTAATCAATATATTTTAGTTTGACAATGATATACATATAATATTACATAAAATTTAATTTTATAATTATAACGTATCATTAAATAAATTAATATATTTAAATGAATAAATGATTGAATGAAATAAATAATTATTTAATAACATATCAAAATTATAAATTTATAATATTATATAATATTATAAATATTATTTTACTTTATTCCTCCAACCTAAAAGACGAATGAAACCATCCTGTTCTCATTAGGCGGACCCAACGCCCTTGATTTAGTTTATGTGGAAAAATGGGAAAGCCACCAACCCCGATGGATGCAATCATTTCAATTCAATGCCAAAGAGAAGGGGATAGTGGTGGATTTTCCCCACCAACATTTCTTTCTTGTTCCTCTTAATTAGGGGAAAAGAAGACAGAATGGACCCAATTAGTTAGCTTTAAAGCTTGCTCAAAGGAAGGAAATTTCAAAGCAATTACATATACATGATTAATTAGTGCTACTTTGGCCACCTCGCAAACAGAACACCAGCTTTCAGATGAAGAAATATTCAACAGCAGACCCACCTGTTGAATGCTCCTAACCAAAACCATTATAGCATAGACTCTCTTAGCATTTCTGCATCATGAAAAATGAATTCCTTTAGATTAATCAGTTTACATCTCTAAGAAAACTTAATTTTGTAATAATATGCCGACATATGTAAGTATTCAGCAGAACATAATCATATGTGCATTACACTAATAGTTCACAACCGAGTCACAAAGGAATTCGACTTTAGTCAGTTAGAATTATCTTAATGGATAATATAAGATTAGTGTCTGTCACATGTCAGCGTCACAGAAAAAGAGGAGCAATTCTGCTACTTTCCATGATATATATATGAATTAGGCTGTCAGGTGACCCAGTGGAGGCTTGTGCTTTAAGCAATACCAATGAAGTATAAACACACTGGCAGTCTCAAATAAATCAAGCTGTACTCAAATGTTTTTGGTTATTTGCATGTGAATATCATCATCATAATGGTAGGCTCTTCCTTCTTTTTTGAAGTTGAACTCCTTTTAATTCATAAACTTCAATAGCTTAGACGGTACCCATTTGAGCATTGATCTTTCTGGTTCATTATATTCAAGGGTTTGGTGAGCTGAACATGGGGAATGAGATGGGAAACAACAACACTTCTGGATTGAGAGGTATTGCTAAGTCAGGGTTTGGTTTTTTCACCTAAGATATGAATGGAATGTTCTCTTACTTTAGTGGTGTACTTTTGCAGAAAAGGAGAACATAAGTCAGGAAAAAGGCCGGGGAGAAGCTACTCCTGCAGAGAATATCAAAGAGCAGAATGTTGCGGTTCCTCCAGCTGCTTCAGATGATAGTAAAGATGCTAATAGAAAGGAGAAAGGGATAGGAGTTGGAGATCACAATGCTGATGACAGAAACTTAGAAGGGGAAGGTTAGTGAATTTCAGCATTTTGATTGCTAAAATCTGCTTGTCTATTTACAGTGCTGATGGATTGGTGCAGAAGAAGAAAGTAAAAAGGATGAAGCTCAGGAAAATTCTCTACAAGAAACAGTCAAAACTAACCAAGATGATGTAGAAGGAGATAACCATGTAGTTCCTCCAGCTGTAGATGGAAATTCTAACGGACAGGGGAAAGATTTGACTACTAGTGCTGATCTTGAAAGCTTAGAAGCTTCTCAAGCTGAAAACCAGAAACATGAAGACAAAGGTCTGTAAATGCCACCTCTTTTACTTGCTAAAAAGTATATGCGTTTCCTGCCTTTCTATAATCTTGTTGGACTAATGCAGAAGAAGACCATACAAAACCTGAAGCCAAGAAACTAGATTTGCAAGAAACTGCTAGAGCAGATGACGCGGGAGGAGAAAATTGTGTAACTCCTGTAGCTGAAGGTGAAGACTCTAATGGAAAAGAGACAGGGTTGGCTTCTGCTGGTTCTGAAGATATTGGTGATCAACTTGATAACATGGCATCAGAAGGATCATCAGGTTAGTAAGTTTTTGACATTTTGTATGTAAAAAGTATGTGTATCTATTTAATTACTGAAGAACTAATGCAGAAAAAGAAAACACAAAAGATGAAGCTCAGGAAAAATCTATACAAGAAGCGAGAAATACTTGCCTGGAACAATCTTTGCAAGAAACTGCTAGTGAAGATGGCGTGCAAGCAGAAACTCATGTGATTCCTGCAGCTGAAGGTGAAGATTGTGACAACAAAGAGGCAGTGTTGGCTTCTTCTGATTCTGAAGAAGTAAGCGATCAACTTGGGAACATGGCATCGGAAGAAAGATCAGGTTAGTAGTTTTTAAGCACAAGAATTAGGTCCCTTCTTTTTCTTTATCTCTAAATTAGCTTTAATCTTCTTCGCCTATAGAGCAAGTAAAAGCTGAAGATTATCCTCCTTCTGAGGCCTTAAAAGTTGAAAGAATACCAATTGAAGGAGTTAGTGAAGAAGATGGTGAAATCGAATTGGCTTCATCCAAAAACTCAGAGGACCACCAGAAGCTGCAGGACTTGAATCAGGATGAGAATCTAGCTGGAGCAAGACAACAACAAATTGAAAGGCAGAATTCTGTCAAGAAAGGTTAGCAGCAACAATCTACTTTATTAACTTACTGAAAATATTAATTTAATTAAATGTGTCAGTTTTTTCTTTTTCCAAATTCTTTTGTTCCTATATGAAAAAATCTAGTATGGTTTCACATAAACATGCTAAATAAACTTGCTTTAATTCTGTGTCTAATTTCGCAACAGAAAATGAGGGGACTGCAGATTCAGCACCCGATGCGCCAGTATCTGCATCAATTGAAGCAGTGCCTAAAGAACATGCAGGTTTGAAGGCTGATGAGCATCAAAAGGCTAAATTACATGATGATGAATCTGTACAAGATTGCAATGGAATGCAGAACAGTGTGGATACAGTGGGATGCAAGGAAAATGGTCACATTTCATATACTAGCATTTCAAATTATCTTGGTGAAAGTGTTTCTTCTGATCCTGATGAGGAGGTGGAAAAGGAGATGTGTGAATTCTTGGTTAAAGAGATGGCATCTGGGGAACCAGTGTCCAGTGAAGAGAAACTTGACGTAGAAGATGAATGTGGAATCCAGAACAATTCAGGCAACATAACTGCAAAAATATCAGATCTGAAGAATGGTGTTGGAAACAAAGGCAATGGAGAGACAGCAACTAAGATGGATGTAATTGGAAACAATTCTCCCAAATCAAAACTAGAAGATATTCTAGCAGATATATCAACAACGATCCATTTAGAGGATTCTAAACCTGAAGAAAAAAGCATAGTGCTTACTGAGGAGATCATAGTTCCCAGAAAAGAATCAGAGAATGGGGAGAGCAAACTTGATCATTTCCAATCTCAGTCTTCTGCAGATCCGATGGAAGAATCAAAACCTGATGTGGAAAATGCAGCTGCATCTGAATTTATGATGATTGAGTCTGGTTCTGAGAACAAAGAAAAGGATTATCAATTTGAGGGGGCAAAAATGGCTGAAGATGAAGCTTCTGAGGAACAACAAAGGGACACACAAAAAGAAGCTCCTTTGTTTCCAAACCCTGCATTGATTCCTGCTGATGATTTTTCTCTCATAGATCAGAGATGTGAAGAAGAAGAAGAGGAACCAAAGGAGAAGAGAATTATTGAAGAAATAGGGGAAAAGACAGACACATGCCCCAGTGGAAATAATACAGAAATAACAAAAGAAAGAAAAGAACCACCAACATCATTTCTTAACCCATCTCTTGTTTTTCAGGCCTTTTCTGAGAATCAGCATCAGAACAATGAAGTGGGAAGTGAGAAAGTTCAGAGTAGCAAACAGGACAGTCAATTTGCAGTGCAGAATCACGAAAGTTACAGCAAGTTTTTTGGCACTGAAGATTCCACTTTTGTCACCAAACACCTGATGGAGGAAAATGTGGTATCTGTTGTTGAGTTGGCTAGTGAGAAACCTCTACAGAATATCTCACAACATACAGAAGGCATGGAGAGGCTTAGCAGTGAGTCCAGTCCTGATTCCATTAACATAATTCATTCTCAAATGCAGAAATCTCCCAGCTTTAATCTTGATCTAAGGATCAACTCTAGGCCTGTAGAATCAGATGAAACCCCATTGCTGTTTCAGGATAAGGCTACAATTGAGAGGTCACCAAACCAGGCTGATGTTCCTTCTGCAAAACCAGTAGTAAATGTTAAGAATGAACAAGACTCCTTCCCTTACGAAGAAATCCCAGTGGAGGAGAAGGTTGTTGCATTGGAAAGAAGTTATTCTGAGAAGTCAAGAACTCCATTCTTAGGCTTCTTGAAAGATGAAGAAGAAGAAGAAGAAGAAGAAACTAGTAACTTAATTACCCCAAAGAAAGAAGAAAACCATAGTGCTGCAAAGAAGAAAATCAGTGTTTCGGTCAAGGAAGTCTCGTCTGCTTTAACAAAAGGTAAAGAGAAGCGCAAGCATAGGCCTTCTTTCTTCTTTGGTACTTGCATGTGCTGTGCAACTGTGTGATGAATTGAGCACTATTGAAAAAATCATCATTTTTTTTTTTTTCCAATTTCAACATATTTTGATTTGTTTTGTTGGAGGAGAATTTGTTTGTTAATTCAATTAAGATTTTTGTATTGTAACCTTAAGCGCCTATTGGTTGATATTGTTTCTAGACTTACTTGTGATGTAAGTTCTTAAACTGGTTGGAGATGGGGAGGTTTTGTTTGGTCTGAAGAAGATGTTGTGACCTCGGCCCCTTTTGTAAGCTGTGTTCTTTCTTGTTTATTTACACTGAAGTAATGATCTATATCCCAAGATCTTCCATCTCTTCTTATCTGATGTGGTATAAGAATAGAGTCTCACAACTAATCTAACAACTCTTCGCATAAGTTCAATGCGGCATGAAAGAATAAGAAAGGAGAGTTAGAGAGGCTTTAGCAATTGTGGACAGGCAGTGTGAAAGCAACAGCTAATATAGATGTACTTTTCCTAAAGAAAGAGTCAAGGAGGCCTTTCATTCATACACCAAAATTTCCAACAAACTTCTTATATTATATTATATTATATTATATTATATTAGACACAAATTTTTAAATTGACTTTTAAAAAAAATAAGAATACATTAAAAAAAAGATTTATAAATTTTTTTTTGAACAATTTGGCATGAGACAAGATCAATTCGTCCAAAAAAAAAAATGTAACTATTCAATATGGTTAATGTCATTAGGTCTAAAGGGTTAAATGCAAAAAAGACTTATAATTTATTAAAAATACTTTAACAATTTCATATTTTTATACCTTTTTCCTACTAAGTAGATACAAAGAGATACTTTTCTGTATTATATCTGTACTACTTTGTTGAATTTCAGTCAAACTAAGAAATTTCAAAAGCATTAGCTTTTTGGTCTTTTTATGAGACATGGAATCTCACTGATCCATACGTGATAATTATAAAGGTACCAGGACTAACTTTTTGGGAAACAAAGAAATTGGAAAATTTTGACGTCAATATCACTGCTCCAGTCCTCTCTGTCCCTGAGTTGGAGGAGAGGAATTTCAACAAATGAACAATTTTATAGAAACACACCATTAAGAGGCTATTAATAGATTGGTCCCAACTTAGATTCTTCCCCATTTCTTAAATCAACTAAACTATGCTCTTTTTTCTTTTTTCTTTTTTTTGAGTATTTTTGATAATGCAAATTGCAATGTACAAATGGGTACCTAAGTTATATGAATTTGAAAAGTCAAAATTAGGGAAAGATTTATAAAATGAAATAATTATTCTTATTGTATAATTTAGAAATTTCCTATAACTAAAATTTAATTTTTGGCCATTTATAGCATTGGCCGCAGAGCTTATTTTGGCTAAAAACAAAAACAAATAAATATAATTAAGAGATTACAAAAAATTATAACGGTTTAAGTGAGATGTGTGAATGGGTACCCAAGTGATATAAGCTTGAAGGCTCACAATTAGAAAAAGATTAAAATATAGAATAATTATTTTTTATTGTATAATTTAAAATTTTACTATAATTAAAATTTAATTTTTTGCCATTTATGGCATCGGCCAGACGGCCACAGAGCTTATTTTTGCCAAAGACAAAAACAAAAACAAATGAATACAATTAACAGATTATAGAAAATCAAAATGTCTTAATAATTAAAATATAAGGAATGATAATGAAAAAATTTAAATGTTTTTAACGAATCAATATATAAAAAAGATTCATTAAAAATATTTAAACAATTTCACGAACAATCCTAACATTTTAAATATTAAGACATTATGATTTTCACTTTTCTCTACAATTAATTGTATAACTATAATGAAATTAGACCGAGGCTTAATTCTTCAACTTATGTTCGTCATCATCTTCACAAACTCCTCGTAGTCCACCTGGCCGTCGCCGTCCAGGTCGGCCTCCTTGATCATCTGGTCCACCTCTTCGTCGGTCAGTTTCTCTCCCAGATTGATCATGACGTGCCTCAACTATACATACCAAAATGAAAAAAAAAATAAATAAATAAATAAAGATTTGATTTAGATTTGTTAAACAATATATTAAAAGTCTACAGCAAAACCCAAGTGCATTGTGTTCCTAAATAACAGCTAATGTTCATTGCATGGAGAAACAAAAAATAATTCATTTACTATGTATTCAGGATTTTGTTCTCCCCTTCAACATATATATAAATATAATTTCCTATTCCCCATAAATATTCACCATGCCAGCTATCTTTGTAGCGTTAGAAAAATGATAGATCAAAATCACACGAAATTCCAAGAATAAAACATTGTATCTTTCCTGAGTCAAAAAGATACAATATTGATATATAGCCACATAAAACGTAAAGAATTTTTTAATTAAAAACTTAAATATTTTCCTGATTAAAAAAAATAAATAATAATAACCACTGAGTTAAATAATTTAATGGTTATCTCTTTCCGCTGAAAATAAAAGCTATTGAATTTGAATCGCATGACATGTGAATAGAGTAAGATAAAAAATAAAAAATTATTGTTTCTTATTGTACAATAAAAATAATAATAATAAGCCAACCTCATTTGCCGAGATGTAACCATTTTGATCCTTATCAAATACTTTGAAAGCTTCTTTGAGTTCCTCCTCTGCATCAGTTTCCTGTGTTTTTTTTTTTTCCAAACAAAAACAGATTTTTAAATCAGTTTTGTAATAAAAATTAAGATTCAAAATGCATATAATTATATATTTATACCTTTATCTTCTTGGCCATTAAGTTCAAGAACTCTGCAAACTCTATGGTACCATTTCCATCGGCGTCGGCTTCACTTATCATGTCCTGAAGCTCCTCCTCCGACGGATTTTGATCCAGCGACCGGATCACCGTCGCCAATTCTTCCAAGGTAATACAACCTACACCATGAAATCCTCCATTATAACCCCAGAGCAAACAGCTTCACACAGTTGTTATTCATCAAAGCATATATAATCAAAATGCCAAAAAGTACTTACCATCTCCATCTTTGTCAAAGAGACAAAAGGCTTCCTTAAACTCAACAATCTGTTCCTCTGTGAGTACTTCTGCCATGGTGCTTGCCAGCTGTTTGGTTTCCTGAA